AGGGAGGGTAGGTCATGGTGGAGCTCTCTATGTTATGCAGATCCTTCACTAGCACAAGGTCCCAGGGCTGCTCTCTCAGATGCTTGGCCAGGCCAGCACAGGATCAGGGAGCTGTAACCTGCTCTCTGACTGTTCCCTCTCCCCCGAACTAAACAAAACTTGGGTTCAGGGAAGAATTGAACCTCAAGTATGGGCAGGGGAAGGGATGGATCTTCAAGGGTCCCCAGCCTCCTGGTGATGTGCAGCCCAGTTGCTTGAACAGGGCTCTGCATAGTGGTCAACTTCTAAAAGGTTTTGCAAAAGACAGTTGTCCAGACAAGCCAAGGAGGTTGGGGGGGTCTGTGAGAGCCACTGTGACCACAGGGTTTGGTGTGCATTCTGGTGAAATGCATTATCTATATGTTCGAGTCAAACAAATTACTCATGACAGCAACCCCATAGGGTATGAAAGTATCACTGTCTTGGTTTTATAGATGGAGGAAAGTAGGCAGAGATGTTCCGTCACTTGCCTCAGCCATAGAAGGAGTTGTTGTCAGAGCTGGACACAGAGAGGAGTTGTCCCTGGCTTTCAGTTCTACATGTAGTCCATTAGACCAGGTGCATTATACCTTCATGATGAACTGCCCCTTCATGTTTACAGACATCATATTGGTTGTTCAACACAGGAACCAGCTTAAATTCATGCTGCTAGGTTTGAGGGAGAGAGTGACATTAGTGCTATCAGTAGCAGTTTATGGAGCACTTGAATCCATTACCATGTGGGTCCTCCCAAAAATCAGTGAACCTGCAGCCATAGTTTTCTTGGAGGCCAAAGACCAGCCTTGGGTTGCTGTAGTGAGAACCATAAATAACTAATGATTTTTAGAAGGAAATAGGGACTAACTTTCTATTCTAGCAATCAAATTATACTTTCCTTAGTATTTTGCAAAGAAAAGGACTATAAATGTATTTTCATTATTAAAACATGAAAGATGAATTAGATTAAGTCTGATATTCCAGTTACCCCCAAATTTGGAGGGATGAAAGGGAGAGGAAGCAATGACATAGGTTTTCTGGTCTTCACAGGCCAGCTCTGTGTGCAATATGCTGAATCGTACTAGCAAAAGTCTGCCACAGTTAGTAAAGTAACTTTATTGTTTTGTGGAGGGAGTGGCGGTACTGCTCTGGTGTGAAATACATTCATCCAAGTTGATGCTTTACATCTGCATTCTCAAAAGCAGAATTTCTCATTCTTTTTTTCTTTTTGCTAATTTTCAGAAAAGCATTTTGAGGCATTTACTCACCCTTATAATCTCAGCTATCACTGACAGAACCGTTCTAAATTTCACCCCCACTTTTCCAGTTACTATCATTGTAATCATTATCTTTCTTTTGTCTGGAGGTTTCCATGTATCCTCTCTGTACAGATTTTTTACTACCATTATAGGTAGTGCTAAATAGTGACGCCTATATGTATGGTTGCCTGACACGTCCCGTTGCAAGATGCTGTTTTCAGTTACTTATAACTTTCCCATAATGTAACCATTTGAGCTGAAATTTTCCATGCTGCATTTTTGCTTCAGTCTGAATTTTTCTGGGAAGTTTCAGCTAAAACGATTGAGCTGTTTCTGAGAACAAGATTAGGGAAAAACATGTTTTGCCTGAGCTAAAAAATTCTTACAATCATTTCACTGAGACACTTTGCTTTGGAGCAGGGACTTGAAATTTGGTCAGGGGATGGGGTAGGATGGCTGATATCAGGGATAAGCCTATTGTCTTCCCAATGGAACATGACCAAATGTGGTCAAGTTATAATACTCTGAATAATAGTCTCAGTTTGCATCTGCTCACTAGAAACTTGTTAGAATTTGGAGGCTAAATTTTCCAAAGATTCAATCTGTAGTGAGCATGATCCATCCATTTACAGCAAATATATGATGACCTGGCTGCTCATGTATAGAGCCCAGGATATTCTTTTTATTTTTTATATTTTTTATGTTATAGGAATTTCTTGTTATTTTATTTTACACCATTATCCAGGCACCCTCATGCCCCCTTATATATTTCCCCTTGTCACAGGGTGCCTCCGTTGGTACCTGGTGAATCTTGCAGCCTGGGCAGTTCAGATGGTTTTGCTGTCACAAACATACATACTGGGTTGTTTATCTTTTACCAAGGTGTGCATTTATTTCCCTCTTACGTAACAATACTTGTGCAATACAGGCTTACAGCAAGGTAGGCTCCCCTGCAGCCCTCACCTCACCGCCCTGCCCTGATTGTCACCCAGGTGCTCACAATCCCCCATCAGAAAGTTTGTAATTGCCCTCAGCTGGGCCTGCAGCCTTCTCCAAACTACAGCAATGTCAGTGATCAGAATGCTACTGATAACACCCTGTCACACCCCTCTCCTGTTGACCTTCAGCCCCCCAATTCCATTAGGCCCAGAAGTCCCTTCCCTACCCCCCTTAAATATTCCACCTCCCCTACTGAGTCCCAGCCCTCCAGGTCACCCATTAGTCCTGAGGCCCTCTCACTTATTCCTCATATATTTTCCCTGGCCTCTGGGTGGGGAGGACCTAGTGAGGGGTTGGGTCCTGCCCGCAGGAGGTGGAAAACTCTGGGGGAGGGGGTTAGGTCCTGTACTTGGGGGTTGGGAGGCCCCAGGGGGTTGCAGATAAAGCCCACACACACTCATTCTGCAGCAGTGGCTCCTGTCCTGCAGGTCTAGGCTCAGCTCCCCGCACCAGGCATTGTGACTTGGACATGGGTTCGAACGCAGCATTGCTCAGGTTTGACCCGGCTGCCCCTTCATCAGTGGGGCCGGGGCAAACCTGAGCAGCACTATGATCCCATGTGCCAAGTTGCAACACCTGGAGCAGGGATCTGGATTCAGCCCTGCAGGACAAGAGCTGCAGGAGCTGCCACTGCAGGGTGCATTTTCATTTTATGCCATTTTTTATGTTCTTTTTCATTTTGTGTTATTTTGCATTGGCGATGAACATGGGGGTTTACTCATGCACCTTCCCCACAGAGGCATGTGCTGTTCCAGGACTGCGAGCCTGAGCAGGACTTCCCCTGCAATTGTTCTCTGTTGTGCTCTCAATGCTGTCCCTGCTGGCAGGCTGGCAGCTTGGATAAGGAATATGACTGGAATGCAGAGGGATGAGGAACCCGGGTGGCAGGAGAGATGCAGTGCTGTAGGTCAGGAGCAGGAGCTTGAGGAGATGGGAGTATGAGGGAGAAGGGAGTTAGAAGCAGGACCTGGACTGGGACTTCACATCATCCCTGTCTCATTCAGTGCTCAGGATGCACAACGCCCTCGGGGTGAATTTGTGGCTGTGCAATGAAGAAGGCTGTTGTCGTAGGGCCCCTGCCTCATTTGTTGCAGAAGTTGGGAGGTGTGTGGTGAATGAGGCAGTGATCGTGGACTTAAATACTGTATCACTATAAATATGCACCGGGGCTGGATTAAGGCTGCCCAGGCGTTTCCTAACTTTTGACTACTTGCTTTACAAACTTAACGTTCTTTCAACATAGCTTTCTTTAAAGGTAATTATATAATAATTGTTGTGTCTTTATGGAATTTTCTGTATACTTGCATTGTATTGCTTTAGTGCAATCTCAATGGAATAAGCATAACAGACCTGCAGGAAAGTTGAACTATCCTCTTTTCTGAGCTAAAATGACAGCAATTTGATTCTCCAGTGTCCTGACCCTACACTTATTATTTAGATAAAACTCCGATTGACTGCAACTCAAGTTGAGTTTTGTGGGAGTAAAGAGTTCAGGATATGGTCCCCAATGTTAAACGTACTGTTGAGCAATTTGGAACAAAACAAAGGAAGTTAAAATGCAGAAACAAAAATCACACAGAATGGACGAGAACTATTAACGGTCTAACTTATTTAACATGAAGTCTAGCTCCTTAATATGCTCTTCTTCTTCCTATGTGCAGTATCAGTAAGAGAATGCACACGTAATTTAAAATAAGGCAGGTGCTATCATATATGGTATATAAAGATTTTAATTTTAAGAAGAATTTCAGGATGAAATCTGGAATTCTGGAGGTAGTGAATTTAGGTTAGCATCTTAATTAATGCAATTGACTTTTAATATAATTGAAGACCTTCAAAATTAAACACAGTCAACAATAATAAAGTATCAGTGTTTAAACCTGTAATTTTTAAGCCAACGTATGAGCATGAATCCTGAACAGTCAAGTGAAAGAAAATATTTGTGAATCCAGTTTGAGCTTTACCTTTTCTTTAATAAATTTGCTTTAAATCTTTAAATGCTGATAAAAGCTAAGCTAAACCATAAAAATCCTAACCCAGGATAAAACCTATGTGAAGGAAAGGGTTAAAAAAACTAGAACATTTGGGAATGTGAAGCATTGAATTATCTGACTGAAACCAGCAGGGGTTGCTGTCACTATTTTGTGGTTGTCACATTCCTGCTATGCTTGACCTTGGAAAGGCTCGACAATGTAGCCTGGATTTGATTAAGGGAATTTCATGTTTTTCCTTTGCTAGAGTCACCCCCCACCTCGACAAACATTTTAAAATGTTAAGAAAAAAAATGTTTGGAAAGCAAACATTTTCCCAAAAGAAATTTATAGTTCAAATTTACACCAAGTTCGCACTCACTGGAGCAGTCCAGGTTTCCACTGAGGCTTTGAATATTCTCTGTAAACCATTAGTCACTCCCCTGGAAGAGACAGCTTTTTATAGGCAGCGGGATAAAACAGGCACAGATGTGTGTGTAATATTAGAGGTTTTCACATGTACCTGTACTTTAAAAAAGACCTAGAAAATTGGAAAAGAAAAAGAACAAAAGCAGAGATGGGAAAAGTAGAATTTTTTTGACTACATATGATGATGAATTTAGTTAAAGGGAGACATTAATGTTTTTGATGCCCAGACTTTTGTTTTTGTATAGTGGATTTTGGGGATCATGTCAAGCAGTATGCTTAATGAAGGTATGAGCTGTAGTTAGTAACTGGCTGCCTTTTTATTCTGCAGGACTGTGATTATGCCAATTGCCAATGAGTTTGATCCGGACATTGTCCTAGTATCAGCTGGATTTGATGCTGTGGAAGGCCACGATGCTCCATTAGGCGGGTACAAAGTCACAGCTAAATGTATGTATAGTCATAAAGCGGTTATTTTTTTCTGGCTTGATAATTTCTTCTGGGATGGATCTTTATTTCAGAACCAAATTTTGCCTCATTTATACGCATATGAGATTGCCCTGGTGTAACTGAGAGAAGAATTTGTCCTTTAGTTAATATCCGTGGGTAGCCATAGAACTCTCAAGAACCACTTGAATGTGATACAAATAAAATTATTTCTTAGCTTTTCTAGCTCACTCCTTGTTGCAGAGCCTCTTGGCATATTTTTGTCTAGGTTTGAAAGCTTTATTTTGTTGGCATTCAAATAACCTTTCAGTGATTTCATGCTTTTTTTCAACGGGCCCCACTTACAAATGCAGTAATAAATTAGTCATTTTTAAACTGTGTTGAACATGTTAAATTTTGGAGGCTTAATTCTGATCTCACATTGTTTTTACACCACTGTTCACGAAGGTCAAGATTTTCAAAAGAAACTACTGATTTGCAGTGCCTCAGTTTCTGGATGCCCAGCTTAAGCCCCTAAAGGAGCCTGATTTTCAGAGGATGGGTGCTCACCAGCTTCCAAACATTAGACCCCTTTAAGGTGCCTCCAATCGGGGACCCCAAAATCACTAACCACTATTGAAAATCTTGGCCAAAATCTGTTTCTTGCCTGTGGGCTAGATTTGTAAAGGTATTTAGGTGCCTAAAGATGCAGCTAGACATATAGTGGGAATTTCAAAACAGCCTAGGTGAAATCAATAAGAATTAGGTGACACAGTGATTTTGAAAATTACACTAAGTAGCTGCATCTTTAGGCACCTAAATACCTTTACAAATCTGGCCCAATAACAACATGTTGAGCAATGTGCAGTGTAGCATTGCAATATATACGACACTGTTGGCATTCTACGCTGGAATACAAAATAAACTTGTTTTCTAATCCAGATCCTTATTTAGTGTAATTTAAAAACACTCCATAGGAGTCAGTGGGAGTTGTGTGTTGATGTGCAAAGGAGGGAGCACTGTGTAAAGGTTTAGCTCAATGAGTCCTTGAACACCAATGGGAGGTGTTAATCTGCAGTGGGAATGGAGAGGAAACAAGAACCTGGCCATGGTGAGGAGCTGACCAGCCACAGAAGCTCGACTGCCAACTCCTTTAAGGTTGGGATGTTATCTGCATCGTGACATGCATGCAGAGTGCAAATAAAAATTACCTTTAATTTATTATATCTCTAAATTTCTGGGGGTGAAATCCCTCCTTGGCGGAGGACTCGTGCAAGTGCCTCCATGCTACACTGTCCTTATCATTATCCTTTACAAATAAGGGGAATGGGTAGAGCTGTGATTGCATGAGCTCAACACTCCCAGTGTGCAGGGCAAGAGGGCTTCACAATGACTCTAAAATTGTTGGTCCAGAGGGATCCTTACTTACTTGGATGACACAGCCAGGAATCCTTGCTCAGTGGGCTTGAGAGGTACCACTTGCTGTTCCAGGCACGATGGGCTGTGAAGCAATTCCACAACCTACCAGTATATTGGAGAAGTATCTTATTTCTCTCCCCTCCCCGCCGCCCCCAACCTTGAGAAGGAGAATGGAGTGAAGAAAAGGATTATCTTGTTTTTTAAAATCAACTCAGATAATTTTTTCTTCATCCATTCTGCATTCTGAATCCATTCTACCTCCTTTACGTCGCTCTTACAGAACCTGAAATCATCTTAGAATTTTAGTACAAGAGGCCATACACACCAGTATAAATGTGAACAAAAAGATGATTTACGGTAAGTGTCTCTTGTTTAAATTAAAGGAAAAGCAAATATAGGCCCAGATAATAATCACGTATCTAAAGGATGAATAAATTTCTTTGCACAGAGCCAAAGGAATTTATTATTTCCCCAAAACAAAATACTCAACATTCCACCATACGTTTTTAGAGCATATCATACTGTATATGGTATAGAGAAAAGTGCGTACAGACTATAACAAAAAAATCATCTAACATTTGAGAGACAAACTCCATATTCAAGAAGTACAACGGTAATCAAAATATCCATGAAGAAATAGTTATATCATTGATTACTTCTCAGATTTGTAGAACATGTACAATACAAGCAAGTGCACAAAGAAATGTTAACATGTTTTTGCAAGCCGGACTGTAGCTTGTACCCAAACTATTATTGTCATTTCATTTACATATTTTTAGTGCTTTGCACCCATTTAATACACTGGTCTCCCTGATTTCCAGTGAGCCAGTCCAATTTTTGCACTTGAGAATTAAGACATTTACATCAAAGAAGGAAAACTGATTCTTTGACTATTTGCCGCACTTGGTAAAGAAGCAATATAGAGATGCTGTGCCATGGGTGGAGAGCATTTTATGGCCTTCAATCAGAGCACAGTCACAAGGGAATAACTGTAAAGTGTTAACAGTGCAGCAAGTTCTAACTCTGAAGAATTAGGAGAAAAGGGATGAAGAGAGATGATCCAAATGAGAAAATCACTGGGCCAAATACATCCCTGATGTAACTCAACTGTACTCATGGAATCATAGAAATGTAGTGCTGAAAGGGACCTTAAGAGGTCATCTAGTTCAGCTCCCTGTGCTGAGGCAGAACCATGTAAACCTAAACCATCTCTGACCAGCGTTTGTCTTAAAAACCTCCAATGATGGGGTTTCCCCAATCTCCCTTGGAAGCTTATTCCTGAATTTAACTACCCTTATAGTTCAGAAAGTTTTCCCTAATATCTAATCTAAATCTCCCTTGCTGGAGATTAAGCCCGTTACTTCTTGTCCTACCTTCAGTAGACATGAAGAACAATTGATCCCTGTCCTCTTTATAAGATCCCTTAATATATTTGAAGACTGTTATCGGGTCTCCCCTCAGTCTTCTTTTCTCAAGACTAAATATGCCCAGTTTTTTAACCTTTCCTCATAGGTCAGGTTTTCTAAACCTTTTATCATTTTTATTGCTCTCCTCTGGATGCTTTCCAATTTATCCCCATCTTTCCTAAAGTGTGGCACCCAGAAATGGACACTGTACTCTAGCTGAGTCCTCACCAGTGCTGAGTAGAGCAGAACAATGGTCTTACATGCAACACTCCTGTTAACAAACACTAGAATGACATTAGTCTTTTTTGCAACTGCATCACGTTGTTGGCTCATATTCAATTTGTGATTAACTATAATCCCGAGAACCTTTTCTGCAGTACTACTGCCTAGCGAATTATGCCCTATTTTGTAGTTGTGCATGTGATTTTTTGTTTCCTAAGTGAAGTACTTTACATTTGTCTTTATTGAATTTCATCTTGTTGATGTCAGACCAGTTCTTCAGTTTGTCAAGGTAATTTTGACTTCTAATCCTGTCTTCCAAAGTACTTGCAACCCCTCCCAGTTTGGTGTAATCTGCAAATTTTTTAACCCTAATCTCTATTCCATTATTCAAATCATTAATGAAAATATTAAGTAGTACTATACCTAGGACACCTCTGCAAGACCCCACTAGATATGCCCTCCCAGTTGGACAGCAAACAGTTGATATCTTACTCTGAGTACAGTCTTTCAACCAACTGTGCACCACCTTATAGTAATTTCATCTAGACCACATTTCCCTAGTTTGCTTATGAAACTGTCAAGTGGGGCTGTATCAAAAGCTTTACTAAAATCTAGATATATCACATCTACAGCTTTCCCCTATCCAGTAGGCTAGTAACCTTGTCACTGAAGGAAATTATTCATGACAAATCCATGCTGGCTATTCCTTCTCACCCTATTATTCTTTACATGCTTACAAATTGATTATTTAATAATTTGTTCCAGTGTCATTCCAGGTATTGAAATTAGGCTGACTGGTCAGTAATTTCCCCAATCCTCTTTGTGTATTTCTCCAGTCCTCTGGGACCTCACCTGTCCTCCATGAGTTCAGAAAGATAATTGCTAATGGTTCCAAGATTGTTTCAGCTAGTTCCTTAAGTATACTAGGATGAATTTCATTAGGCCCTGCTGATTTGAATACATCTAACTTATCTAAAAAGTTTTTAACCTGTGCTTTCCCTATTTTGGCTTGCAGTCCTTCCTCCTTCTTGTCAATATTAAATGTATTGATTATCTGGTCACCTTTTTAGTGAAGACTGAAGCAAAATAGGCATTAAACACCTCAGCCTTCTTGATGTTGTCAGTTATTAGCTCTCCTTTCCTGCTAAGTAGAGGACCCACACTTTCCTACATCTTTCTCTTGCTCCAGATGTATTTAAAGAATTTCTTCTTATTGGCTTTTATGTCTCTTGCTAGGTGTAACTCATTTGTGCCTTAGCCCTTCTGATTTGTACCAGCATGCTTGTCCTAGTCTTTTGCACTCTTCCTTAGCAATTGGTCCATGTTTCCATTCTTTGTAGGATTAATATTTTATTTTCAGGTAATTAAAGAGCTTCTGATGGAGCCATATTGGCCTGTTACTATTCTTCCTACCTTTCCCTCACATTGGAATAGTTTAAGTTGTGCCTTTAATACTGCTTACTTGAGAAACTGACAGTTCTTCCAAATGCCTTCCCTTAGATTTTCTTCTTAGGCAGCAATACCTATCAGTTCTCTGAGTTTTTTAAAGTCTGGGTTTTTTAAAGTCCATTGTCCCTGCTGATTTCAAGCTTTCCTTTCCTTAGGATCATGACATCTATCATTACATGATCACGTTCACCCAAATTGCCTTCCACCTTCAGATTCATAACCCATTCTTATGTGTTGGTCAGAATAAAATCTAAAATGACTCTCCTGTTGTCCTTATGTCTTCCAATTTCTGAAACAAAAAGTTGTACCCAATTCAATCCAAGAACTTATTGGAAATTTTGTGTTTTGCCATATTACTTTTCCAGCAGACATCTGGTTGTTAAATTTCCCCACTCCTACCAGGTCTTATGTTTTGAATATTTCTGTTATTTGTTCTAGAAACACCTCATCCACCTCCTGTTCTTGATTTCATTGTCTATAGTATACCCCACCCATGATATCACCCCTATTTCCCCCCCTTTTATCTTT